AGTGTGTCAGACGAAGCTTCAGAATCCTTGCCTCCAAGAACCAGCCCAGCTTCACCCTCTCCAGGACAAACCTGTTTTCCTAGCAGTCCATTGTATATTCAATACTCTTTTCCAACACCACAGCTCAAAGGCATGAATTCTCCTATCATCCCTAGTCATTGTCCAGCTCTCCAGTGCATAGCAAGTGATTACAAAGACCATGGCATGTATCAGGTGCAACTTAGTCACCAGGCGACATCTTTGCACTTCACACCTTATATATATTTTTTTATTTCACTGGAGAGTGGAATTGCTAGGTCATAGCTTAACTATGTTTATTTGCCTTGTGAGAAACTACAGGATAGCCACACCCTTGTACCTTTCCATGACTGAGATATGATATGAGAATTTGATGCACTGTTATTATTTGCCTCTATAACTTTTAGTCAGTCTCGTGGATGTGAAATAATAGCTCATTATAGTTTTCAATCATTTTCCATTTTTTACATAAATTTCAAATTTTAAAAAAAATCCATGCTCATTGCCATCAAGTAAAAACCAACTTATAGCTGACTATCCCACAGGTTTTCAGAGGCTGTAAATCATAGGACTGCCCATTTTTCTCCTGCAGGACTGCTGGTGGACTCAGACCACCAGAGAAGCACCACCTTTGGGTCAGCAATGCATACCCCTGCCACCAGCGTGTCCTCTAGGATGCACTTAGAAAATTGAAACGGCGATAGAAAATCCAGGCTCTTTGGCCACCATGGCTTTATATGCATTATTACTCTGTCCTTCTCTGTGTCCACTTCTTGGGTCTTATTGACTATTCATCCACCCCAGTTTCTTAGACTGTTCAGTTTCACAGGTAGATGTGTTCAAAACAGACCCAACCTCCAGGATCTGAAAAGTTGCCCATTTTGAAGAGATCGGCAAACCTTACTTATTTCCTACCCCATACCCAAGACAGGTTAGCATGGCATGACTCATTCTCCGTTTTATTTTCTGGTGGTAAGAAGCAAGCGCAGGAAGGGGCACACACATGAGGAATTCATCTGTCTTATGTCCACGTGGAAGGTCAGAGATCTCACACCTTTATGTGTCAGGAAATTTCAGACCTTGTTTACTATACACTGTAAATTAGTGTTTCAGAATACAGAGAGTTAAGCTGGGTTGAATGCGAGCCACCCCAAAGAAGACGACATTTCAATGAATACATTTTTACTGAATTTCTACCATGTGTGTCAATATTGCACTAAGTGCTTTATGAAGGTCACTCTGCTTAATCAAGGTGGCCTCACTACCAAGTTGGTAAGTGAGGCCAATCATGTAATGAAGAAATTAAGCTTAGATCAGTTAAAGGGTATGTATTAATCATCTGTGTGATTGGCACAGGACAGAGCAGAGTTTAGGGCTGTTGTACATAGGGTCGCTATGAGTCGCAGGCGACTCGACGGCACATAACAACAACAATTAATCATCTCTAGAGCTTGGCCAAGGCTCTATGCAAATCTAAGTCTGTCCAGTAGTAAAATCCACACTCTTCTTTTCTCTGCTACCTAGCAAGGAAAAGGAGATGAGGCAGAGAGAGCCACATGTCAAACCCAATTTGAAATACATTCTGTTAAGTTCTAGTCTTCAGTGTAGCTTCAGACACCAAGTTTGTGCTCTTACCCGTTGAACGTTGATTTCTAACATAACATCAGAATTTTAAATATGCTTTTGAGTGCTTGCTTTGGCAGCACATATACTAAATATGCTTTTGAGAAGCTGCTGTTAAGTAGAAAGAGGAAGGGGCGGAATATCAGAGTCCTAGGAACCTCTCCACGTTTCTCAGGAAGTTTTATTGGGGAGTGTCAATTTATTACTGTGTGTCATTAAAACAGTCTCAAAGGAAGCCTGTGTTCTCATAGCATTGAAGATTCTGGGAAGAATCAGCCCAAAGACCTGTGAGAGCCATAGGTTCCTGGGTTGAGGCGGTACACCTTTGTTCTATGCTGAACACTGATTTCCTCATTCTTTTCTTTTTGTACTCCCCTGGAGAGCTGGTTTACAGCGAGATTGTATTAAAGAGTTAAAATAATAGAAGGGATGAATAGGTGACAGCACAGGACAAGCAGTAATTTAAAGCCAAGTGGAGGACTTTGCTGCCCAAAATACCTGCCAGCCAGTCCCCAGTCATGAATAATCTCTGCCTGTCTGGGTCTCACTTCTTACGTCATGACTTTAACTTCATTCTACAAGCTTCCCCTTCTTCTTCCAACGTGACTATTTACTTAACATGAAGTTTCATTTTACTGTGTTTTCTGTCACTCAGGTACAAGAGACGTATGCTTTATAGCGATGCAGTCACACTCAGTGAAAGCTGAGTCATGGGCTCTCCTGCTGACTCAGCATGACCTTCACAGTGATTCTCCCATAAAGCAGGGCTCTAAATTAGTGGCTCTCTCGGAGGGTGTGATGAAGGTTGCCTGCTTCACATCTTATCTGTCCTGGAAATGGCCCCATTAAGGCACAGCTGGTTGCTGCAATGGTTCTGCAGTAGCTCCTGGGTGGTTTGGGAGTTTTCTGGTGTGTTTTGTTTGTTTGTTTCAGTAGTCCTCAGGATTATAGGCCAGGCTACTGTGATTTGTTTTAAGGATATGGACATGCTCTGATGAGAGAAACCAATTCTCTATAAAGTCAGGTTGTATTGCTTATGGGACAGACTGTTCGAGAGGTGATTTTCAGCGTATATGGACTCCTCTGATTCCTGTTCTCTTCCCAGCTTAGAGCTGTTGGTGCAGCTGAACTCAGCCGAGAAGGAATGAGCAGAGTGGTCATTGGGGCCCCAGGAGGCCCGACTTAGGGAACGCTTCCTTCCATGAAAGCCAGGTCACTGACTTGCTCTCCTTTTTAGGCCTCTTTGACAGTCCCCCAGGATCAGATGATGCAAAACTCATCGATACCTTTTATCCCGGAGATCAACAGTCTGTGACATTTGGAACCAAGTCTAGAGTGGGAATGGGTGGCATGGAAGCCAAGGTGAGAACCAGATGCTTGAACTGCCCATAATAATTGTTAAAATTGCAGTTGTAATTCCCAGCAGTATTTTCTCCTTTTTGTAAAGTTTTAGTTGTAAATGATTCACGTATATCTAAATACAGTTTTCATGAGTATTGTGTACTTGTATTTCGTCATACCTACATGTGTTCTTTTTATTAATATTATATAATAAAACTATCTAACCAAAATCCTACAGCCATCAAGTTGATTCCAACTCATGGTGACCCTTCATCAGATTCTGAGGCTGTAAATCTTAACAGAAGAAAACAAACTGCCAGCCTTTCTGTTAGCAGCCCACCACTTAACCTACTGTGCCACCAGGGCTCCCTAATGGATAAACTGTGTGTTAGTATTGTGAAAATCCTTAAGGGCAGAGCCTATATAAGTATGGATTGGTTTTGTCCTTAAGCAAACATGCTGTGGTTGGGCTGTATGTTTAAGAGTATGTGATCCGAGTGTTTTAAGATTATGAGGATGGCACAAGATGGGACAGGTTCGCCATGAATTGTAGTTGACTTGACAGCACCTAACAACTAATTGATAATGCTCAATACCAAATTATATTTTTTTGAAGGTCTAAGGTGCAGATGACTAGACTTTGCATAGGTTTGAGTCTCTTCTTTGGATCTGGCTTCTCTTTCCAGGTAAATGCAGCCCTCTGGGCTTTGAAAGGTGGCACTTCTGTTGTTATTGCCAATGGAACCCACCCAAAGGTGTCTGGACACGTCATCACAGACATTGTGGAAGGAAAGAAAGTTGGCACCTTCTTTTCAGAAGTGAAACCTGCAGGTAAGTCTTCAGAAAGTCCCTTGGCCTGTGGTTCCACATGACTATTAATTTCTCTGTTTAGAAGGGATTGAAGATGTAATATTTTACTCTGGGAGCTTAGGTCAGAACATAGTTATGCTAATACTACATAATATGGAACTGCTTTTGAATAAAGGCACTTTGGTGGTATAGTTCCCAGGGCCTCCTCAGGGCAATCTCCATCCTTGCAATTTACAGCCTTAGGAACCCACTAGAGCATCAGCCATGAGTCAGGACCGATGCTATGGCAATGAGTGGGTGAATAAGTGAGCCTATTATTTACAAAATGGTATTTACCTTTGCTTTGGTAGCAGTTATTTGGAAGCAGGAGTGGCATACACTTCCTAAACATGTCTCTGGAAACACTGTGAACTTTGACAAATGACCTTAGTTATAGAAAGGCTTCAGGCCTTTTTTTCATAGGGTTACTATGAGTTGTGCTTGCTTGACGGCAGTCAACAACAGCAAAGTTATATCTGACCTGTCTAACTAGGTCTCCTTTTCTTTCCAAAATCATTGTGGAAGGAATAGAAGCATTTATTTGCTTAAATATTTGCTAGGTGTGAGATTCACTGGTTGATGTTGTTATTAATAGTAGTAATAATAATAAATGTAACTGCATTGCATTCGTATAACTGAGGATGACACAGGACAGGGTACAGTTCTAACCTGTTGTTCTGTGGACTGCTGCGAGTGGTAATCAACTCAGTGGCACCTAACAGTATAACTGAATTGTAGCCCATTGTTTAAATTTTTAGGTAAAGTCTGTGCTCTCAAGTGTTCACAGTGGACAGAATTGCCTTATATAATCTCATTCAGTAACACTAAATTTAAAAAGATCAACCGAAGAGGAATTGAAAATATATACAAGCCATAAAGTATGTTATAGACCCTAGGAACACAGGCGATTGTATTTATGCCTGAGTTACTCTTTGTCATTCTGCTGGCCAGAGTGATCTCCACACATAAAGCAGACATTTCAGGATGCTTGCATTCCTTCTGTGCACGTGACAAGCGTGGCACATGCAGGGACTGTGAGAGAACTAAGGTGACCGTGGCCCAGTGTTTGCAAATGCTCTTGCAGGCCCTACCATCGAACAGCAGGGAGAGATGGCTCGGTCTGGAGGAAGGACACTGGCCACATTGGAACCTGAGCAGGTAATGACCTCCTATTGTAGTCTTATTACAGTTTTCAGAGCAAGCCATGCTGTGTTCAGCATGGTCCAGTGTAAGCACTTTAATGCATGGCCCAGCCTACTGACTTCCCTCCATCCCTAGCGTTCCACAGAGGTTGTCTTGAATTACAGTTTGATTCAAATAGGTTATACCTTTTTTTGTTTGTTTTTTGTTAAATTTTATATTACTTTTTGTCTTGAGTAGCCTAAGGCCTACTATCTTTACATCATTGTGACATTTTGGTCAAAACATCATAGAAATGATGAGACCAGGTATATATCCTTACTCCGTGACTCCATACTCAGCATGGAAGTGTAGGGAAATTACTTTTCCTGCTCGTTCCAAATCACTCAACTTACATAGGTGGTGTCCGCTGATGAAGCCTGTCCTGCCTCTGTGAATAAGCAGCAGGAGGTCAAGATTGAAGCCGGACATTTGCTTCCCCACCGTCTTGATGAGCAGTGTAGACTTGAGATTGGTGAACGGAGATTTATACTGGGAAGTACTTTAGCCTAAGAAAGGAGAGGAGGATTTTCAAATTGCCAGAAACAGAGAAAGGCAAAGAAGCCTAGCTTCTCTTTCCCAGACCTCTCCATTTTACTTCTTTAGTAATTGCCCCTAATTTGTGAAATTTCTCAATCTACGCAGGTAAGGATTGGTATCTGCTCAAATGTCCAGAAGTAACTCTCTTCCTTTTTATGGTCATAACAAAATTATGAAAAAGGAAAAACTAGGTGTAAAAAGGTTCCTGCAAAATAAACAATATAGTCAGTTATGTTAAATATGCAAGCACATGTGCGTCTGTAAATTCGAAGTACTGGCTCCTGTCTGCTGAACACATTGTAAGCTCATCACCTCCACGTCTCTCTAGGTAGTAGTTTGCTAATCATAATAATCAGGAGTGGCAAAAGAGGAGAGGGAGTAAGAAATCGAGAAGAGATTATCAGTAAGAAAGAGAAAAGTAAAACCAAAAAGAAGTAGTGATAGAAAAATGAGGGCTGTAGAGGAAGGTGAGTGCAGTGCATGATGTCCTTGGATTTAGGAGCAAGATCTGCCCCTGAAAGAAGAGCAGGTCTTAAATAAAGAAATGTAATCCGCAGTCTGTGAATTAGCATGCTTGTGTATGTATCTAACAGTTTGTCTTTCTTCATAGAGATCAGAAATTATCCATCACCTTGCAGATTTATTGACAGACCAGCGTGAAGAGATCCTGTTAGCCAACAAGAAAGACTTGGAGGAGGCACAAGGTAAAGATGACCAGAGCTATTGTTATCAAGGAATTTAATATCATTTTTCCCTGTAAATCTTATGTCATACTGTGCCAAAAGAAGAAACTGTTGTGTATAATTTTTATTGCAAATATATGTTTAATATTAGTTGAGACTATCCCTATACCCATCCCATATATTCTAGTACAATCCACAAAGGAGACTTTCTCCATGTCCCACAAATCATGAGCCCTTGTTACTATGGGCCTGTTTTCAGGATAAAAAAGTGTCCTACTGTTTTAGATCTTCAACAAATAGCAACTACCATTTGTTGAACCTTTTCATTAACTACTACTAACGATATTGTTATGATATTGTTGTTGTTAGTGGGACATTGAGTGTTTTAAATTCACGGCTGTCTCAGGTATGCAGAAATGCTGTATAGGCTTTTTCAGGGCTGTAACCATTTGGAAGCAAATTTCCAGATCGGTCTTATGAGATACCTCTAGAGGGGCTTAACCACTAACTCCTATCTGTGAAGTAGCTACTATTACTATTCCCTTTAATAGATGAAGAAGCTGAAGTTCAGAAAAGTTATCACTTACCCTTACGGCCAGTGATGGACCAGCAATTTAAACCCAAATGGATTGTGCATCTGAAAGCGTTATAAAAATAGTTTTTGTGCCATATGGTGGTAGATAACTTGTCTCTCGGTTAATTAGTATGAAATCTGTCCAGAGTTAGCAAAAGGTGCCATGTAGGAGTGCCTTTGAAGTGTTAATGATAGTATGACTGAGATGGCTGTATTCTCACATCAAAGTATCCTACGAAAGATATGTAGTCAGGTAGGCCCTCATTTATTCTGGTTTTCTAATTCGACCTTAAAAATAATGGGCTGGTATTAGGGAAAATGACATTCCTTTTCTATGAAATAAATGCCCCTTAAACATAGATTAGTAAATGTCAAAAAAAGCCTTGCAAAGCCTCATTGAAACCTTGAGTTCATCAGCTCTATTTTCAGATCTTAAAATATTTTTTGTTTTAAGTTGATCTAGAACATCCTTTAGATTTTATCCCTAGTCTTGGAATTTTGGCAATATTGAAAACTCATAAAATTAAAAAAGGGAAGACATTTTTATCTATCTAGATCTTTAATTTAAAGGTATGATAATTGATACTAACAGAGATTAATGCTTTTGCTCAAGGTTACACACTAGTTATTGACTGAGCTCTCAAACACCTGATTCTAGTTCTATTTTCTCTGGAAATACTCAGAACCCACAGTGTTTAAGGATAAAATCCTGAGGCAACACAACTATTGTAATCCTTTTTTTAATTCTGAAATCTCATTTCTGGGAATTTATCGTCAGAAAATATTTCAAGAGGAGTTAGCTTTCCATATTAAAATTCTTAAAGCAGCATTATTTATCACACTGAAAAAACTAAAAATAACCTGAGTGTGTCATAACATGGCAAAGTGCATTTAGCGTTATCCATTAGTGGAATATTTAATGGTAATTATAATGGTAATTTCTGCAACTTACATTGCTAGGTAAAAGTCTAGATTATAATATTTAACATGCACTATAATTAAAACTTGATTAGCATATGGAAAAGAAGTGAAGAAAATTAATTAGGTAATATAATTGGTTGTTAGGATGATGGGTTTAATTTTTATCTTGGTGGTTGTAATTCCTAGAAAGAAAGGAAAATTTTTCATAATCTCACCTTAACAGTAACTGCAAGATTATGGTATGTTATGTATGCCAAATGGCTTTTCAGAATTTATATACATGAAAATGTGTATACAGGAATCATACCATATGTGCTATTTAAATTCAGATAAGGTTCTGAATATGTGAATTTGCTTTAACTATTTAAATTTTCACTTCAGAAAGAAATATCTTTCTTACAATTATAGAAAAAAGCCCTTTATTATATTAAATTTAACTAATAGAGAAAAATGAAGTTGCCAGCGACTGTTACTGTTCTTGATGCCGTCCAGACATCACCACATACATGTATGTGTATATGTAGTAGTTTATAAATAAGATCAGATCATATAGTTACTTTGTAGTCTTCCCATTTCACAAACGCTATGCAAGGTATCGTTCCATATCAATAACTATGTTGTTGTTTTGTGCCTTCAAGTTGCCTGCGACTCATAGCAACCCTATGTACAACAGTCCTAAACCCTGCTCTATCCTGTGCCAATCTCACGGTCTCCAACACCCCACCCTGATTACCCCAGTCCCAATCCACCTCATAGAAGGTCTTCCTCTCCTGTGCTGTCTGTCCCTCCACCCTCCCAAGCATGACGTCCCTCTCCAAGGACTGGTCCCTCCTCGCAACCTCGAAAGTATGTGAGACGAAGCTGCAGAATCCTTGCCTCCAAGGAGCAGCCTGGTTTAACCCTCTCCAGGACAAACCTGTTCATTTTCTTAGCAGTCCATGATATAGTCAATACTCTTCTCCATCTCCATAGCTCAAAGGCATAAATTATCTCTCCTTCTATCATCCCTAGTCATTGTCCAGCTCTCTGATACATAGCAAGTGATTAGATAAATTATAATAATTACATCATAACTCATTGTATAATTTTTAGATAGACTCCCATTTGTCACTATTATGAAAATTGCTATGATGTACATATCCTCATTTAGATACAGATTTACTCGTATGCATGATACATTTCTGGAGATAAATTGCTGGCATAAAGGATGTGCACACTTTTATGTGATGAAATGTAGTACCAATTGGCCCCCTAAGAAAAATTGTATAAGTGGCATGACATTGTTTTATTGAGACCCCTCAGTTCTGTGTCTGTTCCTACTGCAGTGAAACATCAAGAAATACAAGTGAGTGGCGTTAACTAACCTGATCTAATTTCTCATGTTCATTTTTTCAGGGAGACTTGCAGCTCCTCTACTCAAACGGCTGAGCCTATCCACAGCTAAACTGAACAGTCTGGCCATCGGTCTGCGGCAGATTGCAGCCTCCTCCCAGGACAGCGTGGGCCGTGTTTTGCGTAGAACACGAATTGCCAAAAACTTGGAACTAGAACAAGTGACTGTCCCAATTGGAGTGCTGTTGGTGATCTTTGAATCACGCCCTGACTGCCTACCCCAGGTATAAGACTGACGCCTTGCCAGTGAGGGGGACGAACAGGAAGAAGTATCTTATGTCCATTACCATTTACAGAAACTGAATGTTTCTAACACAAGTTGTAAATGTGGAACTGGGCCTCCCCCCCAAGTTAGATCACTATTTAAAATAACTCTCTGACCAGAGAGTCTTCTCAGGGTCATTCATTCATTCCCTAACTGGCTTTGCCCATGAAAGCAACTCTTACTGTCATAAATGGCTTCTTGTAGGTATATATTTTTGTTGTAAAGAAAACTTTTCAGTAGTTAGGAACAAGATTTTGACTCTCTTTAGGGAAGCCATGTGTTGAGCCCTCATGGACAGCCATGACCTGAAATACCAGGGTATATTTGAGAGTGACTTCCTTTATCTGGGATTATTTCTTCATTGGACTTGCCACCAGAATAATACTAATGCAGACTCACAAAGGGAAATTTATTTAAAGAGGGAAAATGTAGCATCTATTGTAGTGCACAGGTGAACATGGGAGTCTGGAGTCCTCCGGGGAGGATACTTTTTGACTTGGCCAAAATTATACCCAGAACTTTTCAATAGTCTGACCTCAACCACAGTCTGGTGTTGGCAGGCCGCCACCACCACCCTCTCTCTGTAAACCTCTCTTGCAGAAGTGGCCTAGTGATACCTGTAAACCACCCCCTTTCTGCTAGTTGGAACAGGTGCTAGGTCTCTGTAGGCTGTAGCTTTCTGCTACTTTTTATCCATATGGACTAGTACTTCACAGGGGGTTTGAGGTTTCTTCTTTAACCAACAATAGATGAGGGTCCTTACCTGGATCTTAGATGTGGTTGCCTTCTTAGAATTCATGCATCCTGAAAGCTGTGGGTAAAATAACACTCACTCACTCTCTCTCTCTATCTCTCTCTCTCTCTCTCTGTGTGTGTGTGTGTGTGTGTGTGTGTGTGTGTGTGTGTGTGTGTGTAGAAAGTGTTCATTACTTTTATTAGAAGTGCATAACCAAAACAACAGAAAGGGATTAAGATCCCTTAATCTGGAAGTTAGCATGATGAGACAAGAATTATTTAATAGTTTCTTTCACTAAGTTAAAAAAATTTTAAGTCTGGTTTATTCCAAGTGCATTCAAGAAGTTAAACTTCAGGTTTGGGAGATCAAGTCAGTATCACTCGGAAAGAGAAACCATCTCTTCCTGGATGACCTGCCTTTTCCTCCCCAGAGAAGCATGGTGCTCCTTTCTCTGTAGTCTCTGCATAGCTGCCAGGAGTCTGGCAGGCACTCTAGCCTTCTCTCAGTTTTTAGCACCAAGAATATGGGACTCTCAGATCAGTTATTGGGCCAGGATAGGAAGTAACCAGAAGTGCCCCGTGCCTGAGCCTGACTCACCCATATGGTGTTGCCTTCAGAGTCAGCTAAATGCCTTGTTCCCCACAGTAGCCAAAGGGGGATGCAGGAGTGCCACTGTAACCCTGGTCAGTTAACTCACTTTGCTTTGGGAAAGGTGCTTAGGAAGTTGTGCATTCAGCTCGTGCGATCCACGGTTTGACTCTGGAATCAGACAACCTGCCTGTGGCTCCCAGCCCTGACATTTATAAGTTATATGACTCTCTGGAGTCACCAATCTCTCTGGACTTTATTTTCCATATCTGTAAGGTGGGGAATAAAACAAACCCTTAACTCACGGATGGTCTAAGGATTAAACAGGTTAAACCTTAAAAAGCGCTCAGTAGATACTAGTGTGTAGTTACTGTTTTCCCTTTTGATTCATGCATCTTGCCTTTGATCTGCAGGTGGCAGCCTTGGCCATTGCAAGTGGTAATGGCTTATTACTCAAAGGAGGGAAGGAGGCCTCACACAGCAACCGGATTCTCCACCTCCTGACCCAGGAGGCCCTCTCTATCCATGGAATCAAGGAGGCCGTACAGCTGGTAGGACTAAGATGGGCCTGGAGGGCTTGGTTCAGACTTGGAATGTTTAAATCAGAATTGAGGTTGTGTAGAGTTCAAGCACAGCTATGATTATAAGGATGGCACAGAACTGGGCAGTGTTTCGTTCTTCTGTATATTGGGTCACAGTGGGAAGTGATTTGATAGCTCCTAACCCCAACAGATGTTGAAGAGGAGCAGCAGCTGCTGTTGGGTGCCTGCTGATACTGGACATTGTTGTTCTTGCAATTAAGTGCCATCGAGTCACTTGCAAGTCTTAGAGATCCTGTGTACAGCAGCTCTGAAGCTTGCCCTGTCCTGAGCCAGTCTCACTGATGCTGACACACCTACCCCCATTGCTGGCATTAAGGTAAAAAGCATAGCTAAAGGACATTATGAGGAGAAATGTGGCTTCAGGATTGGAAGAGACTCATCAACAACTTGCGTTATGCAGATGACATAGCCTTGATTGCTGAAACTGAGAAGGGCCTGAGACATTTACTGCAGAAGGTTGAAGACTGCAGTCTTAACAATGGACTGGAGCTCACTGCTGGGTCAGATAGATGGAGAAGAGATTGAGATTGTTAACAATCTCAACTTGCTTCGTTCCTTAACCAACGCTCTTGGCACCAGCAGTCTGGAAACCAAAAGACTAATTGCATTAGGAAAATCTGCTGTCAGGGACCTCTCCAGAGTGCTGAAGAGCAAAGTTGTCAGTGGAGACTAAAGTGCACCTGATCCCAGGCCATGATCTTGCAATTACTTGCTATGCATCAGAGAGTTGTGCAATTACCAAGGATGACAAGAATTGAAGCCTTTGAGTTGTGGTGCTGGAGAAGAGTCTTGCAGCATATCGTGGACTGCAAGGAAAACTGACAGATCTGTCCTAGAGAGGGTGAAACCAAGCCGCTCCTTGGAGGCAAGGATTTTGAGACTCCATCTCACATACTCTGGGCATGTAGCCAGGAGGGACCATTCTTTGGAAGAAGATAATATGTTTGGAAGGGTAGAGGGACAACGCAGAAGAGGAAAACCCCAGTGAGACAGATTGACACAGTAAGTGGGGTAATAAGAGTAGGTGTGTCAAAGACGATTGACTTAGAATTGAGCAGGATTCAGAGTCATTGTGAATAGGGTTTCTAGGAGTCGTAGTTGACTCGACAGCACATAACAACTAAAACTATGGTCAGACACTTTTGATCTATTCTCTCATTCTCATGACAACCCTCTCAGGAAGAAAGTATTAACTATTAGCCCCATTTTACTTAAGTGTTAAAAAAAAATAACATATATATATATATAAAACCAACCAGAAGCGATTATGGCTTAGAAAACCCTATGAAGTAGTCCTGGTCTGTTACATTGCGTCACCAGGACCCAGGATTGACGTCATGGCACCAAACAATAATAAAAGAACAGTATCCTCTCTTGTCAATGAACATTTGAGGTGTTTCAGCATCTGAGCTATACTAAAACTGCTGTAAGCGTTCTTTGGAAAACATATCTTTCTTTTGGAAAAGTAATATAGACATGAGGGAAGGGCTGAAAAGAAGAGAAAAAATGTTGCCCAGTCTCAGTGAACTTTAAAGCACTGTAGTCATTCCAGCTGGCGTCCTGGGGTCGAGATGAGAAGTAGAAGTTATGGAGAACAATGACTCCAAGCAAGATCCATCCCTTCATTAGGGTGGTGACATGAGAACCCACCTGTTCTGCATTTTAACAGTTGTCTGCCTCACATTGTAGCTGTTTATGTCCTTGTTCTGTCCTGAGTAGACTCTCGGCTTGTTTGGCTGAGAACCGTTGGTTATCTCATGCTTTGTAATTTGGAGCTCAGCGCATAATGAGTAGATGCTTGATCTGGGTGGGTGGCTGATTGATCCCCAAGATCAGCTATTTCATCCTGTTTTTAGGATTTTTCACAGTGCCTGATTTAGTCCTCAGGATATGTTCTTTGTGTTGTTTTGGTCAGGCAATATCATCTCTAGCTTTTTATTCTCTACTTCTTCAGGTGAACACCAGAGAAGAAGTGGAAGATCTTTGCCGCCTAGACAAAATGATAGATCTGATCATTCCACGTGGCTCTTCCCAGCTGGTCAGAAACATCCAGAAAGCAGCTAAGGGGATTCCGGTGTTGGGCCACAGTGAAGGGATCTGCCACATGTATGTGGATTCGGAGGCCAGTGTCGATAAAGTCACCAGACTTGGTGAGCTGGAGTGGCCTGTTGTAGGGGGTGAAGTACTTGTCAGCTCCTTTATGGCTCCAGTCATGTTATAGGAAACACGTTTGTTTGTCTCCCTTCAGTCAGAGACTCTAAATGTGACTATCCAGCTGCCTGCAATGCCTTGGAGACTTTGCTAATCCACAGAGATCTCCTGAGAACACCGTTATTCGACCAGATCATTGACATGCTGAGAGTGGAACAAGTAAGGCAAAACTACAGACCTGTACATTCCTTCTTCTCTTCCATCCCAAGATTTAGAAGTCTATAGGATTAGCATTTGCCAGCTGGAATGAGCATCAAGTATGCACAAGTTCTTGGCTAAATACAGAGGAGAATGAGACATGACCCCTAGAGACATGTTCTCGCTGCTACCCAAATAGCTTTATTACAGAGTGGAATATTTAAGTACTGAAAAGTTTCAAAGATAAAATAGGTCACATGGCCTCATGTTGAGTGGACTTTTTAGCAGCATTTTATTCCAGGTAGCAGAGTGTCAAGTTTATGGTTCTGAGCACACGTTCTTTCTTTTTTCTTCATCATTTTCCTTAATATTTTGCAGTCCTTTGGGGAAAGGTTTTCCTATACACATTCTGTTGCATGGCATGAGCTGGGGTCCCCTTGATAGTAGCAGCACTCTTCCCATTTCCTGTCTAGATTCCCTGGTTCTGTTCATCCCTCTTTCCCATCCCTTGCTGCCTTTTGAACTTTGCTCTTCGAAAAAAATGTCCCCTTTTTGGTCTCACATGGGGGATTGTTCTGAGAACATCCTCCTAGATGTTATTGCTTACTCTGTGGGCCTGTTGCTTGCTTGGCTGAAAGATGATCCCTGGGGCAGATCCAGCGCCAGGTTAGAAGGTTGTTAAAGACCATATTTCTAGAGGTTCTACCAGTCTATCCGACCAGTAAGTCGGATATGGTTTTGAATCTTGCTGTACATTTTTTTTTTACTTGTTATGTGTGTACCGTCAAATTGGATCTGACTGGTACAGGAGGCAATTGTTCCTCCTTCTTCAGCAGAGCATCCAGTGGATTTGAACCACGCACCTCTGGGATTGCAGTACAGTTTCCTGCCACTAGGCCACCAGAGCTCGCCCTTGCTGTACATTTTTATCCCACTTGTCCAGCATCTTCTATCATGATACTAATCGGAGCAGTAACCAGGCATCATGTTGTTCCCCTGGTACCAGGCTGGTGGGGCTGTGGTCCTCATGGTATATTAGTACTTTGGATCGTTTCCTTAAGTCTTTCCTTTTCTTCACTTCCTCCAGCACTTGACTGAGGGCAACCAGCAGTGCATCCCAGATGGCTGCTAACAAGCCTGGAAGGTCCAACTTGCTGCTCCTCGCAGTTGGATGTGGAACATTGTCCCTGTGTGCTCTGTCTTGCCAGTAGACATAAATGTCAACAATGACACTCTTATGCCAATTGAAATGAAACTGCTTAGACAGTTTAAATAAACACAAAACTTTAAACAGTACTTTAGTTTAACTAGTAAAGCTAAAGTAGATGTGATTCCCCCCCCCCCCAATTTGTGTGAAAGTTTACAAATCATACTGTTTTTTCATAGACTTATTCTTAGACATTTTGTTTTAGAACATAAATTGTCATTGATGTCTTCAGGTCACCTTGCACAGAGGTGGTGGGTCCAGGGTGAGGTTCCAGTTCTAGGAGAAGATGGGTCCTCAAAGGCCCAGATAGGAAACCACAGCAGGAGCTCCACAATTATGAGGACAAGTCAGACAGAGTTCATTTGTTGTAGCATGAGCCAAGACAAGAGATTTACTCACACAGCCACTCGCCACCAAGTCAGTTCTGGGGCCTCCAGATGTCACACCCAATAATGAGATACTCACTCTCTTACTGATAGAAGCCTTTATTTCTTGGCTAAGAGTTGTGGTTCTCTCTCCTCTTTGTATGGGAGACGACAACCCTTGACCAAGAAATAAAGGCTTCTAATCTGTAAAAGAGTGAATGTCTCATTACTGGGTGTGACATTCTGACCCAGCGACACTCCATGAGGCCTTTGAGGCTGTAAATCTTAAGATGGGGAACCTGCCCACATGTACTGCCTGTTGGTTAGTGCAACCTACTGTGGGTCGTTTCTCCAGAACCTGCAGACAGGAGCTTGGTTATAGGAATCTGGTCCTGGGGCAGATTCAGAGAACAAACTCCAAGTGGGATCAGACTTGTAACTGAGGCCCTCGATTACCACCAGCCTTGAGCTCCTGAGATTCTCAGCCTCACAGAGGCTGGAACTGCGCTGAACCTAGAGGCAGAACCTAGAGTCTGAAATACAACAGTTGACTGAAAGACTGAAAGAACCTAACCGAGTCTTGTTTATACTGCTCAAACATGCGTGGGACGTGACCAGGATGGGTTCAGACTGCCAGGGAGGCACTGCCTTTGAGTTAACAGTGCAGCTCCCTGCAGTTTTCCTGACCAGAGCTCCCTTTCCAGGGTGATGAAAGTAGAAATGCACCCCCTCTTTTCATGTAGGTTCAATGTCAAAATCTCATTGATAAAGAACAGAATTTTCAAGGGTTCATTTTTAGTGAGCTGCCAGCAGTGTATGTCCATACATTAAATGTATGCTTTATACATGCTGAATGATCAAAGGCTTCCTGCCTACACCCCTACTCAAACTTTATCAAGGACCCTTTGCTGGTAGGTGGCCAGCCAACATTTCAAAACCCACATACGCTGGAGAGAGAGGGGTTGCCTCTGAGAGGAAAGCAGGAGGAACCCGCTTAGTGACCAGGCCATATGAGCCCCAAGTGCTGTGTGGTATTTTCAAACTTCAGATAAACTTTTGTCATAAGAAAAAGCCCCAAACAGACAGCTTCTGTTTTATCCTAGAGGGAGAAGGGTGAACTTGCTTAACTTTCTGTTGCTGTTTTGACATTGTTGCCCTGATCCAGGTGAAAATTCATGCAGGCCCCAAGTTTGCCTCCTATCTGACCTTCAGCCCCTCTGAAGTGAAGTCACTTCGAACTGAGTATGGGGACCTGGAATTGTGCATTGAAGTGGTGGACAGTGTCCAGGAGGCCATTGACCACATCCACAAGTACGGCAGCTCACACACAGATGTCATCGTCACAGAGAACGGTGAGTTGAGTGTTTGAAAGCATGTAGGCTTCGCTGTTTCTGCTTTGGTGTCAAAGGTGGTCCTATGTGCAGCCCCTTTTGACTTGCTAGAAAGCATAATCAATAAGGATTAACAAAATTGCAGGGAGCTCTTGTGGCCTAGTAGCAAGAAGCTACACTGCAAGCCTGAAGGCAAGCAGTTCAAATCCACCAGATGTAATAATGCATAAGTTATATTTGATAGTTTACTGAGTTTATGTAGATTTGGGGGGTTTTTTTAAACATTATTATTATTGCTTCTGATTTTTTTTAAAAAGTTGCTCTTGATTTGGATTCCTGGGGACCCCAGCCATGTCACAGTAGACAAGTACTCTAGAGAATTCCCTTTAGGTGACTTTTAGGAAATAGATCACTAGGCCTCTCTTCAAAGGTGTCTGGGCTAGATTTGAACATCCAACCTTTTGCTTAACAGCCAAACCTATTAACTATTTGCACTGCTCATGGACTCCTATAGATTTTGTCATTCATATTGTCACAGCAGCCCAGTGGGAAGAAGTGGGGCAGAGATGATGAGCTCCACCTTCAAGAAGACTTAGGACTCCTCATGGTGCAGAGGTTAAAGCACTTGGCTACTAAGTGAAAGCATGATGGTTCGAACCCACTGGCTACCCTGGAGAAAGATGTGGTGGTCTCTCTCTATAAATAACCACTGTGGGACCCCATGGGGCAGCTCTGCCTTGTCTTGAAGGATCACCATGAGTCAGAATGAACTCGGTTAAGTGTGTTTGGGGTTTTTGTGTAAAGATTATTTACTGTGTGTCAGAGGAATTATCATCTTAATCCATACAACAATCTTAAGAGGTAATTGGAATCAGCCCATTTTACAGCTGAGGAAACAAAAGAACTGAGACCAGCGGGGGCAGAGCAGAACCGCCTCACCTCGTCCATTCCTTCACTCACTCCACAGACCTGTATTGAGTCTCTAGGAGTTTGGCACTAGAGGGCTGGTGGTGAAAGAAGCCAGAACGACCCTCTTGACTTTAATCAGTCCAGTGGGGAATCGACAATACCACCAATGATACCTAACATTAACTGAGCACCTGCCATGTGCTGGGCCCTGGGGTCTGTGGACATTACTTCAGTTCGTCCTTTCCTACCTGTGGGATAGGTGATGCTGTCGATTTCCCATTTACTCCAGCACAGAGAGGTTAAGAAACCCATCCATGGTCACTTATCTAGTAGCTGTGGAGGTGACGTCAGCCGTAGACAGTCTAGCTTGAGTCCACGTGGTTACTCCTGACACTGAGTTGCCGGTAAGTAAATAGTGTAGACAGGCCTTCAGAGCAGCAGGATCTGTCTGTGAAGGAGTTGGGGTTCCCATACCATTCTTGCAACACCAAGACTCTCTCCACAATGCTGACTGACGATGCTCGTTTAATGCTGCATTTTTCAGATTTGTTACCAGCCCATATGTTTAATTCATAAGGGGAGTCCACGAGGAGGCTTGTAGAAGCCTGAACTTGGCTCTCATCAGTGAGGGACTGGGAGGGTTGTTACTGTGGCTCAGCCCAACTTGTATTCTTCTCTCCATGCTGCAGAGAAAACAGCGGAGTTCTTCCTCCAGCACGTCGACAGTGCCTGCGTGTTCTGGAATGCCAGCACCCGCTTCTCTGATGGCTACCGCTTCGGACTGGGTAAGGAAGACTCCACTTGGGACAAAGGAGTCCTTTGTCGGTTGTCACATGGTCCTAGGTGCATAGTGAAGGCACAGGCTTGAACAGGATAAAGGAGAAAGATACGTAGAAGGTTGGGATTATAAAAGAAAAAAAGAAAATAATAGTTTCCATAAATTAATAGAAGTTCTGTGTTCTAAGAAGTTACTCAAACATCCAGATCCATTGTCATCAAGTTGATTCCAACTCATTGCAGCGCTATCAGACAGTATAACTGCCCCATGGGGTTTACAGTCCAAGGCAGTAAGTCTTTACAAACGTAGACATCCTTCCCCACAGAGCAGCTCAAAACCTCAAACTCCTTGCTGTCTAGTTGGACCAGACCACAGCTGATTGTCCACTGGATTCCCCAGGCTGTAATCGCATGGGAGAACAGTGCCCATCATTCTCCCGGAAAGCTGCTGACAGATTCGAACAGCCAGAAGGATGCATACTTGAGCGTAGTTCCCACAGACTAGGCCACCAGAGCTCCTAAGAGAGCAGCCAGGGAGGTCAAACTGAAGACTTGTCTGTTTGCATCCAAGTGCTTAACTGCTGTTCCACCAGGGTGCTGACTTCCTTTTTCAGAGCTGGTAAAACTGTGATTCAAAGACATGAAGTAACTTACCCAGAGTCACAAATGTTGTTGTGTGCTGTCAAAGCAGAACCGACCATAGCTGACCCTCCAGCAGGTTTTCAGAGGCAGTTAATCGCACGGGAGGTGATTGCTCATCCTTTTCCTGCAGAGCAGCTGGTGGATTCAAACTGCGTGCCTTCAGGACTGCAGCACTGCTTCGTGCCACTAGGGCACCAGGTAGTGCTATGAAGCAACATGTGTGATGGTAGAATGGAAAGCCAATTTGCTTCATGAACATGTACTCAAATCACCATAAGAAGGGAAAAACAAGAGAGGTTGAATTTGAAAGGAAAAAGCGTTGGGAAACAACTTTACCCTCGTTTTAGTTATATCATCTTTAGTTCTTGTCAGAAGTATTTGGACAGTTTCTTATTTTCTTTCTTTTTTTTTTCTTTGTTATTTATTGATGAGTTTCTTATTTTCAAGGGAGCCATTATACAAAGTTCCAATAAGACATTTAGGGCACATTTTCTTAACATTTGAGAATCAATTCAACCACTTAAAACATTTTAGTCCTTCTGAACTTTTGAATAAGCGAGCTGCTTGTAGAAATAGTTCTCAGTGAGTCTGTTAAAGGTTCTTAAAAGGAATCTCATAGTCCATTATTCTTCATTAGATTCTTTAGTTTCCTCATTTCTGTCGTCTTGGATTGATTGACTTACCACATTTCTTGCACTGATCTTTGTACTCCACATTCTTTTTTTTTTTTTTTAAATTTAGGTTGTTTATTTTTTATTTCAATGAACATCTACAGAGATTTT